AGGAGGAGGAGGAGGAGGAGGAGGAGGAGGCATGTTTTAACATGCCATGCCAGCCCGCACTGGACGGGCACGCAATCGACCTTGGAAACCGCAGTGGGTCTAAAAACCCTGTTTGGGGATACTGCACTCCGGCCATAATTCATCGCTGCGCTCACTCCGCCGGCCCTGGAGCGCTATTTAGGGCCTCCGAGGTCCGTCTTGGGGGCTTCGTTGGGGGCTCTTTGGGAGCGTCTTGGGGCTCCTTGGCGGCGCATTGGGCTCCCCTGGGGGCCCCTCGCCCTGCCAGGGCACCGCTGCTTGTGTTTTTGTTGTTGTTGTAGTGCTAGTCTTGGGTTATCTCAGTTCACAGGCGGCCCGGATCAGCAGGTCGGCCCCCTGCCAGCGCAAGGGTGCCCTCGTGCCTTGTGCCTCGCGACGCGTGCCTGCTTGCACTCCTATGGCGATGTGGCCTTCGGAAGGGTCTTGTGTCCTCTCACTTGTCCTGTCCAATCATGGCCGATTATATATATATATATATATGTCCAGTTTTGAAACGTGAAGCGGAGCCTGGTGGAGAGAGAGCGCCGCACTCATCTGTTGCCTGCCCCGCTGGCATCGGGCTCAAAGTGCAAGCCGAGGCACTTCGATGGCCTTCGCCGCATGGCTGGCGGGCGAGGCGGTGCACGGAGCTGGGCAGGCAGCGCTGCTGTGGGCGGCTCGCGGTGAGTGCCCGGCCTGTACGTGTGCGCCGGCCCTCACTTGCGCCCCAGGCCAGGAGGTGGCGCGCCTGGACTGCCCGGGCGGAACCCCGGGGTGGGCGCTGTCCGCGGTGGCCCTCGCTGGCGTGACCGGCTTCGCTGGGGGTCTCCTGGCCGCGCGGTGGCTGGGCGCCTGGCAACCGATCGGTGGCTCCCCTCTCAAGCCGTCCTTGGAGGAGGAGGCTAGAGCGCAGGCTGCCACAGCCAGAGCGCGGGCCTCCGCCTCGCGATGGCCAGCTCAGCCGCCGCTGCGGCGGCAAGTGGGCACCCGCTGGCCTTGGAGGGGCTCGACGAGGGCGATTTCATCCATGTGCTGTATCGTGTGTGGGAGGCGCTCGGATCTGGCACGAGCGTTTGATACTGGCCTTTCAGACGGTGCCGCCCTTCGGGACAGGGATCATGACTCCCGATGGTCACGCGTACGTGGAGGCCATCATGCAGAACGGCGCGGACATCAGGGAGTACGCGGTCCCCGCCGGCGCCTCAGCGGGCGCCGTAGCGGCCAACTCAGCTGGCGACCAGGTCTACCGCTTCCGTGGTCTCCCTCTTCCTGGTGACGTCGCGACGGGTGCCGCCTCTGTTCGAGGCACTCTTGGGCTGGGTGCGGGACCGCCGATCGCGCTGAACACGGCAGGGCGGGTCATCGCGGCTGTGGTCGGCGTCCCGGCTGGCGCTGGGCCCGCGGCTGCCCCCGCTGCTGGCGATGCCGGCGGCGCTCCTGGGGATTTGGGTGGTCCGGCAGGGCTAGCCGCAGCCCTTGGGGGCGGCCCAGCGGCCGCGCCAGCGGGCGCAGCCGCCCTGGTACCAGTGGCGGCAGCGCCAGCACCTGCGGCAGGAGGTGCTCCAGTGGGCGCGCCTTTTGGCGGAGGAGGGGCGCCCCCAGCCGCTCCAGGCGCTTTCGGCGGCGCCGCCGTGGCCGTGCCTGCACCTGGGCCCGCCGCCGCCCCGCCGCCTGCTGTGGGTGGTGGGTGGCCTTGGTCCTGGTGGAGTGGCCGCAGCATTGGCTGCCATCGCAGGCGCTCCTGGAGGCGACGCTCGGATTCAGTCGGTGGCTTTCGACGCGCAGGGGGTGAGGTACGTGGACTTTCGAGCTGCAGTGGTTCGCCTACACGAACTACCTTGGGGCGACTGGCCCCTCAAAGGGCCCCGCGCGCTGTTATGGGTGCTGAACTTCATCTGCCACAATGGGGGTACTCCCCTCGGCAGGCACACGAAGTGGGTCTCAGAAGGGGTACCTTGGGGCCGACCTGGGGTCGATACCCACTTGCTGTGCTGCCGCCTCCTCGAGCTGGGCGTGGTCTACGACCAGCTCCACGTGACTAACATCGCTGCCGTGGAGTTGGTCGGTCGGACTCTCCAGACCCAGGAGGAGCTGTACCGAGACAGGTTCGCCGCTGCCTCGGAGTTCGGCTCAGACGCAGCTCTGATGTCGGGTGCTCTGGACGCAGGCGGGAACGCGTGCGTGGCGCCGGCTCTGAGGGACTGGTTGGCCGCAGAGAAGGCACGCGAGGCCAACATAGCCAAGGGGCGGCGCAAGGCGCGCGAGGAGCGGCTCCTCGCAGCTGGCGGCAGCTCTGGCGGCGGTGGTGGCAGCGATGGCCGAGGCCGAGGGCGCGGCCGCGGCCGCGGACGCAGCAGAGACGGCGGGAGGGGCGGCCGCACAGCCCCAGACAGCAATGGCTGAGAAGCACCAGGGGGAGGCAGTTGGGCCAGCCTCTCCCTGGGATAGGAGTGCGGCTTCAGCCGCAGGCCCTGGCACGCGTGGAGGACTTCGTCACCGTGACGTCTTCCCGCTGCCGATCCCCGCTGGTGCTGCTCGCCCACCCCCAGCGCCAGGAAGTCGCCGCTCGGCTAGGCGTGCTGGGTATCGCCTACATCGTGAGGATAGGGTTTGCTCGGCCGCCAACGCACTTAATTCACTTTATGGTTCTCGGTCCTCGCCTCCTGCTGTGGCTCACGAGGGGCAGCGCCAGGCCATCGTGCACATCTCGGACAGCATCGACGAGCTTGGACGCCCGCCGTCAGAGTTCATGTCTGGTACCGCTGCCGAAGGCGGAGCCCTCAGGGAGCTCCTCTCCTGCGCCAACCTGCGCGGGTCTGGCGCCGCGACGTCGGCCCCCTACGTCCGCGACAAAGTCGCATGGCCCGCCGCAGGTGGGGCTCCAGTTGACATCATCGAGCTGGTGCCGCCTGTGGATAAGGTCCGACTGGAGGGTTGGCGGAGTCATATGCTTCGAGATGCGCGTGCTGCTGCTGCTCTGGCTAGGGAGGCATGCCCGAAGGGGCCTTTTTTTGCGATCCCGCCCTGACGCGCGACGTGAGCACGTACGGTCGTTTTTTGATCCAGATGCTCGAGAGGCAGATGGTCAACTTCGCGGCGGACTCCGGCCTGCCGCACACCGTCGGCCTCTTCTTCGTTCCCCAGAGGACGGGGGCCCTCCGCATCATCTTCGATACGAGTGCCGCCAACTGCAAGTTTTTAGATGCGCCCAGCACTCGGCTACCCTCGGCCTCGGCTTTCAGTTCGATCGAGGCGCCGATCGAAGGCATGTACATGTCGACTTGCGACCTGGAGTGTGCTTTCTACCACATGAGGCTCCCAGCGGGCATGGAAGAGATGTTCACCCTGCCACCGATCAAGGCGGGGGTGCTTCAGGAGCTCGGCCTCATCGACCTCGATTTCGACCCGTGGGTGTCGCTCTCACCCCAGGTCCTGGTGCTTCCCATGGGCTTTTCGTGGGCGCTGCATCTTTGTCAGGCTGCTGCTCGCACTGTGCTTTCGGACGACGGCCACCCTCTGGGTCAGACCGCTCAGGATGGTCAGCCTGGGGTTAACGTTGTCAAGAAGAGTGCCGTGGGGGTTGCCGCCTACGTCGATAACATCCTCGTCTTCGGCGGCAGCCAATCCTTGGTGGATCAGACTATGGCGAGGCTGGTGAGCACCTTCAGGAGTCGCGGGCTTCCCGTTCACGAGATCGAGCCCGCTGCCTTAGATGCCGACTTCCTCGGTCTCAGCCTCCGCGGTGGAAGATTTCTTCGCATCAAGCCTCGTAACATCTGGAGACTTCATTTCGCGATTTCAAGTTTGCTAAGGCGTGGATGGTGCTCAGGCCACATGCTTCGGGCGGTGCTTGGTCACATCACGTGGACGTCTATGATCCGCCGAGAAGTGCTCACCGTGCTTCACAGCTCCTATGGCTATGTCGGTGCCTTCGGCCCGAGGCACGGCAAGCTTTGGCCATCATCAGGGAGCTCATTATCATTAGAGATTTGCTCCCGATTTTGACTTGCGACCTGTCCGCAGAGTGGCGCGCCGTGATGACGGCCAGCGACGCCTCTCCCTTTGGCCTCGGCGTCATGCGACGTCGGGCGCCTGCTGCTTCATGTGCTGCTGTTGGGCGGTACTCGGAGCGGTGGCGCTACAAGGTCGAGGGCGGGCACCAGGCTCGCGTTCGGTCGCTCAAGGCAGGAGAACTGGTGGCCGACGAGGGGCCAGGCGAAAATAGACAAAGTCCGCCCTCTCTCTCTCTCTCTCCATCTCTCATGCCAAGGTCCGACGATAACTGGGGCTACTCCGTGGAGCACCTGGGCAGCTCGGGGAGTCACGCGTTGAAGAATCCAGAGGACATACAGGAGGCCAACACCTTGGGCGTCTACGGTATGGACTTGGGCGCCCCGGTGGAACTCAACATGACCAAGGCCCTGAGTTTCAGCACGGACCCTTGGGAGCTCGACGAGGTACCTGGGCACGCTACACGGAAAGAGGCCTGGAAAAGTGTCAGCGCACAGTCGGTGTCTCTAGGAGCCAATACTCTTTACTTGGAGGGCGCGGCCTTGGTCACGTCGTATCGGCACCTTCTTCGTAACTTGGACAGTCACTGCAAACGTATGGTAGCCTTAGTCGACAATTTGCCTTTGGCGCTTTCTTGTGCAAAGGGGAGGGCCCGCTCGAGTTTCTTGAGGTCATGTCTCAACCAGTTGTGCTGTCTGTCGTTAGCCACAGGCTCGAGGCTTTGTGTACGCTGGATCGCCTCAGAAAGGAGCCCATCAGACTCGCTCAGCCGTGGGAAGCTGGGCTGGTTCAGCGGGCACCGTCATTTGTGTGATGCTCGGACGCGTGGCCGGCGGCTGCTTCGCCCTCTTCGCCATGCTCTGGCTGATCACGAGGGCGGAGGCGATGCCGCGGCGGGGATCGCGCACCCCTTCGGCCTTGACGAGACACCGCGCCCGCCTGGCTGCCATGGCCGCGGGCGGGCGCACCAGTACTTTGGCCATGGGCCTTCTGGAGCAGCTGGCGGTGAGACCGAACACAGAGGCCTTCTACCGGCAGCTACTGCACAGTTTCGTGAGCTACTGTGCGGACCACCACCTGGACTGGAGCACTTTGGGCCAGCTGGACTCGATCCTGGCGGAGTACTTCACCACGCGCTACCTGGAGGGAGCCGCTGCGAACGCCGGGCCCCAGACGATTGCAGCCGTCTCGCATTTTACCCCAGGACTCCCGAGACAGATGGGCACCAAGCTGCCGAGGGCCTCTCGTGCTATGCAGGCATGGAAGCGGCGCGCGCCCGCTTTGACCAGGCTCCCGATCCCACGGGCTGTGATGTTTGCCCTGTGTGGGATGCTGATCGCCTGGCAGCAGCCTCAGATGGCAGCTTGGTTGGCCATCAGCTTCTCGGCGTACCTCCGACCTGCGGAGGCACAGAGGCTGACGACCGACAGCATCGTGCAGCCGTCGATAGGCGCGGGCGCCGCGTATCAGTTCTGGGGCCTCCTGCTGCACCCCGCAGACCGCGGCCAGGGCTGGAAGACGGGATCGTTCGACGAGTCGACCCTCTTCGATCTAGACCTGTACCTCGTGCCAGTCCTCATGGCTCTCCGCCTGAAGGGGCCTGCCGCGACGCCTCTGTAGGGTTTCAGTCTGGGCCAGCTGAACCAGATGTTCACTCTTGCTGCAACGGCCCTGGGCATCAACCACCTGCGCCCCCACCTGTGCGGGATGAGGCATGGCGGAGTGAGCGACGACCTCTTGACGCAGAGGCGATCGATGGAACAGGTGTTCCGCAGGGGCCGCTGGGCCGTCACGTCGTCGATGCGGCGCTACGCGAAGGAGACGGCTCTTCTACGCGAGCTTCAGGGCGTGGCGGAGGACGTGTACGCGCTCGGCCACCTCGTGGAGGGGCGAGTTTGCGAGCTGCTGGAGATGGGCTTCATCAAGAGCGGATGCCTCGCCCAGGTGCCTTCCCGGCTTGCGGAGGCGACGCAGCTGGGCGCCCCAGCGCGCGGCCGGCGGGCTCGGAGGAGGCCCGCAGCGGCGGCGCAGTGAGTGCTACGGGCGACGCCGTCCGACAGCACCTGAGGCGGCGGTTCAAGGGGGCAGTGCAGCGGGGCTCGCTTTGTCGCAGGCGCGTTGTGTTAGAGCTGTTCAGCGGTTCGGGCCACCTCACCGCCGCCGTGCGCCGACTCGGCCTTTCGGGTCTGGGGCTCGACATCAGGCAGGGGCCTCTCGAGGACCACCTCGATGCCACCTTTGAGGAGGTCATCGTCGGATGGCTGTGTAGCCACTCAGTCGCCGCCATCTTTCTAGGGGCGCCCTGCACCACCTGGTCGCGGGCCCTCAGGAGACCCCTGAGATCTCGCGACCGCCCCATGGGCCTCCATCATTTGAGCACCTCCGAGAGAGCCCGCTTGCAGCAGGGCAACGCTTCTTTTGCTTTCACGTGCCGCATCATCAGACTGTGCACTCGTCTCGGGATTCCTGTGATGCTGGAGAATCCAGCAGGCTCTTTGATGTGGTATGCGCGTTCGCTGTCTCGGCTCGTTCACTTATCTTGTGCGCGTAGTTGTGATCTTGACCAGTGCCAGTATGGTTCTCTTTGGCGAAAGCGCACGAGGATCGTCTCTTGGCACGCTGGCCCTATAGAATCCTTATGCCGCGTGTGCCAAGGGAGACGCGGGCTGTGCTCGCGCACGGCCAACAAGGACGTAATTCTGTCTGGCCAAAGCCCTGCTGGTTGTAAGTACACAGCCCTCGCAGCTGCATATCCAGCTGCCCTTGCCAATGCTCTCGCTAATGTAATCAAACGCGCAGTGCTCAAGGCGCCACAGCAAACAAGTAGCGTGCTTCCGAGACTTCTCGCCTCAGCATCGAAGTGCCTTTTTACTTTTCGGCCGCCTCTGCCACTCTGTCAGTTGCGGCCAGATCTTCCTTTGGGGTTCGGGAAGTATCCTTCTGGTCGGACCTCTGTGCTGTCTGCTCCGTCGCCCAGCTGCTCGCCGGGAAATTATCTCGTGGCAGTCTTTTACTGCCCTAGCCTGGCTCGCGCTCGACACATACAGTACACAAAAGTGACAGAGCCCCATCAGTCCTCAGGCCCTGTAAGAGGCTCGGAAGGTTTTTGTTCTGGTCCAGCTCTGGCGCTCGGAATCCTCGAGGCGGGCTGTCCAGTTTTGAAACGTGAAGCGGAGCTTGGTGGAGAGAGAGCGCCGCGCTCATCTGTTGCCTGCCCCGCTGGCATCGGGCTCAAAGTGCACCCACCCACGTGCCGCCCTGGCTCTTTTTCTCGCCCGTATATCTAACTTGCTGCTCTTCTCGGGGAAGTCTCCTTCTGGTCGGACCTCTGTGCAGTCTGCTCCGTCGCCCAGCTGCTCGCCGGGAAATTATCTCGTGGCAGTCTTTTACTGCCCTAGCCTGGCTCGCGCTCGACACATACAGTACACAAAAGTGACAGAGCCCCATCAGTCCTCAGGCCCTGTAAGAGGCTCGGAAGGTCTTTGTTCTGGTCCAGCTCTGGCGCTTGGAATCCTCGAGGCGGGATATATATACACACACACTAATAATCATACTAGTAATTATACTAATAATAATAATACTAGTATTTAGAATACTAATAAGAATACGAATAATCATAACAATAATAAAAATAATAATAATACTACTAATAATACTATCAACAACAATAATCATAATAATAATAGTTTTAATCATAATATTTTTCATAATGCTATTATTACTAAAAAAATAATATTAATAATCATACTACTATTCATAATAATAGTGATGCTGATGATGATGATGATGATGATGCTGACAATAATGATGATAATAATGATAATAATAATAATAACAACAACAATAATATTAAACAAAAAAACGCGCCCGGAGTGCCACGGGGCCCGTCCTCAAAGCGGCGGTGTCCGGGCGGCTTGTGAATGAGGGGCCCGTGAGCACATGTGAGCCCCAACGCCCAAGGGTCCCTACATGTGACGGGGGTGGGGACCCCCTCGGGCGCCCCTGGGCTTTGTTGGGAGGGAATCGGGAGGAAGGAGGAAGGAATGGGGGAGGGGGGCAGGGAAGGGGGAGGGAGAGGGGAGGCGCTGGCTGAGGGCAGGGGTTCGCCCCTCTCCAATCCCCTCCCGTCTTCGCCGTTTCCCTTTTTCGCCCTCCCCTGATTTCGGATCCGCCGTACGTTGGTTGACTGTCCTCCTCTGGAGACTTGTGCCAGACACGCCCGCCAGCCGGGGAACAGGAGGGGAAGGATGCAAAGGGGGAAGAAGGCGTGGGCTGCGGACAGGGGTTCCTCTCTCCCCTATCCCCTCCGTATTTCTCCCTCCCCCCCCTTCCCTCTTCCCCAGACATCCGACGATGTGTGTGTGTGTGTGAGTGTGAGTGTGAGTGTGAGTGTGAGTGAGTGTGTCTGTGTGTGTGGATGAGTGCGTGCGTGCGTGCGTGTGTGTATATGTGCGTATGTGTGTGTGGTGTTGTGTGTTGTGTGTTATGTGTTGAGTGTATTAGTGTGTGTATTTGTGTGGGTATTTGTGTGTTTGTGTGTTTGTTTGTGTGAGTGTTTGTGAGTGAGTGTGTGTGTGTGAGTGTGTGTGTGTGTGTGCGTGCGTGCGTGCGTGCGTGCGTGCGTGCGTGCGTGCGTGCGTGCGTGTGTGTGTGTGTGTGTGTGTGTTTTTCGATGTGCGACCCCAGGAGTCTGACCTCTCCCCATGGGGTAGCTTGTCGTCCCTGGTCCGTTTTTGATCGCCCGGGGGATCAGGAACGGTCCCCCGAGGGCCGAAATCTAGGAAAAGCGCCGGGATTCAGGCAAAAACATCGTCGGAGATCTGGGAGGACGGTGGTTTTCGGGTCAGAGCTTGGAGTCTCCAGGGGCCGTTCGTGACGACCCGGGCACCCCGGGAACGCTCTCGGCGGGGCGCAGTTGCTGGGAAGCACGCCGAGGCTGGAAAACCGCCGAGCTCGGGCAATATTTGTATCCACATCCACTGCGTCTTGGAGTTTCGGATTCCCTTCACCAGAAATCGAAGTAGCAGTGGATATGCACAAAAATCTGGCCTCCAGGGGCTAAACTTTTTTCTCCATCTCTATCCACTGCGCCTGTGCCTTTTGGACCCTCTTCCCAGAAAGTCCAAGACGCAGCACGACCACCGTTTAAATAGATGATAACGGCAACGTGTTCTTAAAAGATGGCCTCGCCCCCTAAGCTCTCGTCTAGGAATAGTCGTCCTCCCCCCTCGCCCCTCTCGCTCTCACCCTCGCTCTCCTTCCTTGCCCTCCTGTTCCTGCTCTCCTCCTCCCCCTCCCTCCCGTCCTCCCCGATCCTTGTCCTTGCCCTCCTCGCCCTCCGTCCTCGCGCCCCTCCTCACTCTCCCTCCTTGCCCTCCCCTACTGTGCAGGTAATGGTGCGCAGTGAAAACTCGCCATTGTGATGGTGCACTGGTGTGTTGAGTACTGTTTGGTGGTAATTCCTTCCATCGGACGGTGCTTCATGGGCACTCCTGCGTGACAGAGGATGTTTCAGCTTGTTTGCACATGGCTTGCAAGATACACCGCACTCACATCTATACCCCTGGGTGGGTGTATGTGCGGCCGTTTTTGCGCTGTCATGTGCGCGCATGTGCGCGGCATGTGCCAGTCATGTGCCAGGCCTGTGCGGTCCTTCTTGGATGGACTTCCTACTGTGCACGTCGTGCCCGGGCATGTGCGGGGACATGTGCGCTGTGTTTTGATGTATCCATCATACGCACATGCACGCACAGTCCGACGCACATGCGCGCACATGCCTGCACATGCGGGAGGTGTTCGAGAATCGCAGATCTGTCATCGGCACATGCACGCACATGCCTGTGCAACCTCTCTTCGGGAGGCCGCGCGGGCCCGCACATGCACGCACATGCGGTGAAGCGCGCGGGCGCACATGCGTGCACATCCCAATGCACATGCACGCTCATGCCCTAGGAGCTGTCTGGGACCCCTGTGCCTCCAATGCCTCCTGGCCTTCGCAGAGCTAACCTGGGGCGTGCCAGGGTTTCCTGAAAGAGTTTGTTGTGCGTTTAGACTCGCCCGCTGCTGGCGGGGGCGGTTATTCGCCCGGTTCGTGAGCTGGCGGTGGCGCGCCCGCCTAATAAAATACTCTCCCGCGCGCCTTCTCAGCTCGGCCGGAGAAGCAGGGATGGGGGGGGGAGGTGGAGGGGGGGGGGAGGAGGGGGGGGCGGAGGAGGCGGGCGCCCCCGGCCACTGGCCAGCCTGCCTGTTCGGCTCGGCCAGAGGAGAAGAAGGAGGAGGAGGAGGAGGAGGAGGAGGAGGAGGAGGAGGTGAGAGTTGCGAGGCTGTCTCAGGCGAAAGTGGCTTGACGGCCCGAGCTCAGGGAATCTCGGAATCGCTGGCCTGGCTCGGCCAGCGGCGAGCTCGGCCTGTGCGAATACTGTGCGCACCTGTGCAGTGCATGTGCGGGACGTGCAAGAATGCCGGGGCCGGCGTTCGTCTCCGGACGCCGGCCGGCGCGTTCGCGTCCGGCCAGTTCCGCGTGAGACGTCGTCGGCAATTTGGAGGCCGACGTGCTTTGAAGTGATCTGGCCACCTTCGCCTGAGACATCCTCGCAACTCTGGTCTCGGAGATGCCCTGCCCCATGGTGGCCCGGCCACTTTCGCTTGAGACATCCTCGGGACTCTGGGTTTCGAGACGCCCTGAGCTGAGGTGGTTAGACCACTTTCGCCTGAGACATCCTCGCAACTCTGACCTCAGAGATCTCCTGCCCCATGCTGGTCAGGCCACGGTCGCCTGAGACATCCTCGCAAGTCTCGATTCCGATATGCCCCGAGCTGAGGTGGTCAGCCACTGTCGCCTGAGACATCCTCGCAACCCTGATCTCAATGATGCCCTGCTCGATAGTGTCTCGGCCCCTTTCGCCTGAAACATCCTCGGAACTCAGGGTTCCGAGACGCCCTGA